AGTTTCGAAAATTGAATTTGACTTGGTTACACCCCAAAGTTCGAAAATTGAATTTTGACTTGGTTACACCCCAAAGTTTCGGAAATTGAATTTTGATTGTTACTCCATTTCGAATTGATTTTGACTTGGTTACTACCCAAAAGTTTCGGAAATTGAATTTGACTTGGTTACACCCCAAAGTTTCGAAAATTGAATTTTGACTTGGTTACACCCCAAAGTTTCGGAAAATTGAATTTTGACTTGGTTACACCCCAAAGTTTCGGAAATTGAATTTTGATTTGGTTACACCCAAAGTTTCGAAAATTGAATTTTGACTTGGTTACACCCCAAAGTTTCGGAAATTGAATTTTGACTTGGTTACACCCCAAAGTTTCGAAAATTGAATTTGACTTGGTTACACCCAAAAGTTTCGGAAATTGAATTTTGACTTGGTTACACCCCAAAGTTTCGGAAATTGAATTTTGACTTGGTTACTCCCCAAAGTTTCGAAATTGAATTTGACTTGGTTACACCCCAAAGTTTCGGAAATTGAATTTTGACTTGGTTACACCCAAAGTTTCGAAATTGAATTTTGACTTGGTTACTACCCCAAAGTTTCGGAAATTGAATTTTGACTTGGTTACACCCCCAAAGTTTCGAAAATTGAATTTTGACTTGGTTACTACCCCAAAGTTTCGAAAATTGAATTTTGACTTGGTTACACCCCAAAGTTTCGGAAATTGAATTTTGACTTGGTTACACCCCAAAGTTTCGGAAATTGAATTTTGACTTGGTTACACCCCAAAGTTTCGAAAATTGAATTTTGACTTGGTTACACCCCAAAGTTTCGGAATTGAATTTTGATTGGTTACACCCAAAGTTTCGAAAATTGAATTTTGATTGTTACACCCAAAGTTTCGAAATTGAATTTTGACTTGGTTACACCCCAAAGTTTCGAAATTGAATTTTGACTTGGTTACACCCCAAAGTTTCGAAAATTGAATTTTGACTTGGTTACACCCCCAAAGTTTCGGAAATTGAATTTTGATTTGGTTACTACCCAAAAGTTTCGAAAATTGAATTTTGACTTGGTTACTACCCAAAAGTTTCGGAAATTGAATTTTGACTTGGTTACACCCCAAAGTTTCCAAAATTGAATTTTGACTTGGTTACACCCCAAAGTTTCGGAAATTGAATTTTGACTTGGTTACACCCCAAAGTTTCGGAAATTGAATTTTGATTTGGTTACTACCCAAAAGTTTCGAAAATTGAATTTTGACTTGGTTACTACCCAAAAGTTTCGGAAATTGAATTTTGACTTGGTTACACCCCAAAGTTTCGAAAATTGAATTTTGACTTGGTTACACCCCAAAGTTTCGAAAATTGAATTTTGACTTGGTTACACCCCCAAAGTTTCGGAATTGAATTTTGATTTGGTTACTACCCAAAAGTTTCGAAAATTGAATTTTGACTTGGTTACTACCCAAAAGTTTCGGAAATTGAATTTGACTTGGTTACACCCCAAAGTTTCGAAAATTGAATTTTGACTTGGTTACACCCCAAAGTTTCGGAAATTGAATTTTGACTTGGTTACACCCCAAAGTTTCGGAAATTGAATTTTGATTTGGTTACTACCCAAAAGTTTCGGAAATTGAATTTTGACTTGGTTACACCCCAAAGTTTCGAAAATTGAATTTTGACTTGGTTACACCCCAAAGTTTCGAAAATTGAATTTTGACTTGGTTACACCCCCAAAGTTTCGGAAATTGAATTTTGACTTGGTTACACCCCCAAAGTTTCGGAAATTGAATTTTGACTTGGTTACTCCCCAAAGTTTCGAAAATTGAATTTTGACTTGGTTACTACCCAAAAGTTTCGGAAATTGAATTTTGACTTGGTTACACCCCAAAGTTTCGGAAATTGAATTTTGACTTGGTTACTCCCCAAAGTTTCGAAAATTGAATTTTGATTTGGTTACACCCCCAAAGTTTCGGAAATTGAATTTTGATTTGGTTACTACCCAAAAGTTTCGAAAATTGAATTTTGACTTGGTTACTACCCAAAAGTTTCGGAAATTGAATTTTGACTTGGTTACACCCCAAAGTTTCGAAAATTGAATTTTGACTTGGTTACACCCCAAAGTTTCGAAAATTGAATTTTGACTTGGTTACACCCCCAAAGTTTCGGAAATTGAATTTTGATTTGGTTACTACCCAAAAGTTTCGAAAATTGAATTTTGACTTGGTTACTACCCAAAAGTTTCGGAAATTGAATTTTGACTTGGTTACACCCCAAAGTTTCGAAAATTGAATTTTGACTTGGTTACACCCCAAAGTTTCGGAAATTGAATTTTGACTTGGTTACACCCCAAAGTTTCGGAAATTGAATTTTGATTTGGTTACTACCCAAAAGTTTCGGAAATTGAATTTTGACTTGGTTACACCCCAAAGTTTCGAAAATTGAATTTTGACTTGGTTACACCCCAAAGTTTCGAAAATTGAATTTTGACTTGGTTACACCCCCAAAGTTTCGGAAATTGAATTTTGACTTGGTTACACCCCCAAAGTTTCGGAAATTGAATTTTGACTTGGTTACTCCCCAAAGTTTCGAAAATTGAATTTTGACTTGGTTACTACCCAAAAGTTTCGGAAATTGAATTTTGACTTGGTTACACCCCAAAGTTTCGGAAATTGAATTTTGACTTGGTTACTCCCCAAAGTTTCGAAAATTGAATTTTGATTTGGTTACACCCCCAAAGTTTCGGAAATTGAATTTTGATTTGGTTACTACCCAAAAGTTTCGAAAATTGAATTTTGACTTGGTTACTACCCAAAAGTTTCGGAAATTGAATTTTGACTTGGTTACACCCCAAAGTTTCGAAAATTGAATTTTGACTTGGTTACACCCCAAAGTTTCGAAAATTGAATTTTGACTTGGTTACACCCCCAAAGTTTCGGAAATTTAATTTTGATTTGGTTACTACCCAAAAGTTTCGAAAATTGAATTTTGACTTGGTTACTACCCAAAAGTTTCGGAAATTGAATTTTGACTTGGTTACACCCCAAAGTTTCGAAAATTGAATTTTGACTTGGTTACACCCCAAAGTTTCGGAAATTGAATTTTGATTTGGTTACTACCCAAAAGTTTCGAAAATTGAATTTTGACTTGGTTACTACCCAAAAGTTTCGGAAATTGAATTTTGACTTGGTTACACCCCAAAGTTTCGAAAATTGAATTTTGACTTGGTTACACCCCAAAGTTTCGAAAATTGAATTTTGACTTGGTTACACCCCCAAAGTTTCGGAAATTGAATTTTGACTTGGTTACACCCCAAAAGTTTCGGAAATTGAATTTTGACTTGGTTACACCCCAAAGTTTCGAAAATTGAATTTTGACTTGGTTACACCCCCAAAGTTTCGGAAATTGAATTTTGATTTGGTTACTACCCAAAAGTTTCGAAAATTGAATTTTGACTTGGTTACTACCCAAAAGTTTCGGAAATTGAATTTTGACTTGGTTACACCCCAAAGTTTCGAAAATTGAATTTTGACTTGGTTACACCCCAAAGTTTCGAAAATTGAATTTTGACTTGGTTACACCCCCAAAGTTTCGGAAATTGAATTTTGATTTGGTTACTACCCAAAAGTTTCGAAAATTGAATTTTGACTTGGTTACTGCCCAAAAGTTTCGGAAATTGAATTTTGACTTGGTTACACCCCAAAGTTTCGAAAATTGAATTTTGACTTGGTTACACCCCAAAGTTTCGGAAATTGAATTTTGACTTGGTTACACCCCAAAGTTTCGGAAATTGAATTTTGATTTGGTTACTACCCAAAAGTTTCGAAAATTGAATTTTGACTTGGTTACTACCCAAAAGTTTCGGAAATTGAATTTTGACTTGGTTACACCCCAAAGTTTCGAAGATTGAATTTTGACTTGGTTACACCCCAAAGTTTCGAAAATTGAATTTTGACTTGGTTACACCCCCAAAGTTTCGGAAATTGAATTTTGACTTGGTTACACCCCAAAAGTTTCGGAAATTGAATTTTGACTTGGTTACACCCCAAAGTTTCGAAAATTGAATTTTGACTTGGTTACACCCCCAAAGTTTCGGAAATTGAATTTTGACTTGGTTACACCCCCAAAGTTTCGGAAATTGAATTTTGACTTGGTTACTCCCCAAAGTTTCGAAAATTGAATTTTGATTTGGTTACACCCCCAAAGTTTCGAAAAGCGAATTTTGATTTACTTACACCCCGAAAGTTTCCAGAATAGAAGTTTGATTTCGTTACACCCTCAATGTTACCAAAATTCTGGAGGGGTGGTGGTTCTGGGTTTTCAATTCCGAGGGATCCATGGAGATCTCCCTATCAGGCTGAAAGCAATAATGTATACTGCAAGCAATGCTTTTTTATTTCGAAATAAGCGCCCAGAACCACACCCACTTGCAGTTCGATTTCGAAATTTCAAATATTTGTTTAACATTGCCTAATTTCACTGATCAAAATGATATATTGCATGCCAGTATTTTGTTTAGCATAAATTAGCCGTGTGGAACCACACCCCCTTAAGGGGGGGTTCTTAAATTTCGAATATTCAGTCGCGATTGGCTAAATGCGCTGAGAAGGATGATATATTACATCCTATTATTTTATTAGCTTAATTCGGGTGTCGAGAACCACACCCATTGAGGGTGGGGTTATTTAATTTCGATTTTTATATCCGGACTAGGAATATCTAACTAAAATATTCAAATTTCAATTGATAGTACAACTTTGTATAAATTATTAATTATTTTTAATTTTGGAATTGCAGTTAGGACTTTTTACGAGTTTTTCTTGTGCACTTAGGACTTTTTAGAATTAAGCAGAGACTGCACTTAGGACTTTTTAGAATTAGGACGACGATATGACTCATATAATATGAGTACAAAAATAAGCATGTGCCCACGGGTAGATGTCCCAACATAAAAAATTACAAAAAATTAATTTTAAAACCCCGCAGTGCATGCATACAAATAATTTCGTTCGCACAAAAAGAAACACTTTATTCCCGTCATATTTCATAACAAGGTCATATTTCAAGTAACCATAATTATTTAAAAAATTGAACAGTAAAAGATAAAAACTTGAAGCTTTATTTCCCTTTGATTAAATTTATTATGAATCGGTATCAGAAAAACTGTGTAATATAACAAATTGTTTAACACAAAAATAAATAAGTCCAGGCTTAAGATATGTTAAATTTTTACTACGAAGTAAGAAAATATACGCAATATGTTCGTGCATATGTATATAAATTAGTAAATGCATATTGTTCTTATCTACTAAAGTAAACTTCTCGTACTAGAGATTTCAAATATTACTTGTTTCACTAATTTCTGATGAAATCCAAAACTCATCAAGCCATCTGAAAGTTACAACGACGCAGATAAAATAAATATCAACGTTGCATGTTTTTGACGTCTAACCTTCATCACCAATTTTTACAACATAAATGCTAATATCCGAATACCAACAACCAAAAATATTTCTTACATACCAAAAGTCGTAGAACTACTCACGAGTGAAAAATTATTAAAACAATTTGCGAGAAATAATTAACACGACAATTTCTGAAATTCTGATATAGGAAACGTCAAAAACTATTTAAATTCTATGCCGTCCATTGGCAGATGAGCTTTCATCCTAAATTTAGAAAACCAGTTGACCCTGTGTTTCGCAAAATTGACCCGTGCTTGGATATGGGACAGCATTGTCGATCATTGGTATTGCCGGAGAATTTTCCACTATAAACAAAATTCCGTTATTATTCAATATTTGTTTTAAAAATGAGCAGTTAAAATCCAACTAACTTACGGAATGCCACCCACTCGAAATTTTCAAAGTACTTAATTAGCAATGAAAGCAGCAGCATGACAGCAATATGTCCAGGTAATAGTCCATTTCTGGGGTTAAGCTCGATTTGTCACCAGACTCCATTGTTTTGATGGTAAATAGTTAAATTTAATATTGTGAAAACTAAATTAATCAAAAAATTAAATTAATTCTTAAAATATTGTGTTTCTTGATACACATGGAAATTCCATGATGGAATTTATTTATTCGAATAAGTTTATCGGCCCAGGTAAATATAATTGCATTTGTATAACTAACACTTGCAGAAATAATTGTTCAATGAGTTGATGTTGAGTTTGCTTGCCACTTTAGATTATTCACTATCTTATCTCGGGGGTTTACTTGTCGCCCTGTTTATAACGTTGGCAGGAGGGTTAGATAATTTATCTGGTGTATGTCTATAGTTGCCACGTAGGCAACCAACCGACAATAAATAAAATTGCGCACTTAACGGTGTTGACAGAATAAAATTACTCACCTCCGTAATTTACAAATTATTTAACTTCTCCAGTTGTCCTGAACCGTAAAATGGCCTCTTCGTCTAAACAGTCTGTTATTGAGTCACACCTGATTTACAAAACCTGCCTGGGTAACGGCTCGTTTGGCATAGTCATGAAAGCCTTGGACTCATCTTCGACTGCCACCGCAGTAAAGTTTTTATTCCCATCCACCGATCCAAAGGATTCTAAACAGCTAGTAAATATTTCTCGCGAGTGCACCATTTCCCGCAAACTAGCACACCATCCCAACATTGTGAAAGTGTTGTCGGTTGTTGAACGCAAATTTTCCGTGTTCGAACTGAAAAATATATTCCCCGATTCAATATTACAAAACGAGGAACAACAAGCATTAAGAGATACATTTCTCGGCAAAGCAAAGCGGGAAAAAGAAATTTCTGTAATTCAAATCCAAATGGAACTATGCGGCGAGAACTTACGAAATTGGCTAAATTCTCCGGATTCGAATAATAGCCCAAGTCTTAACAGAGTTCAATTTACGATCGTAAAAAATCTTGTGTCTGGTTTGGACTATTTGCACGACAACAAAATTATTCACCGTTCTTGATTTTGCCTGAGAAACACATCGAGTTGCATCCTCTTGCAATACACGATGAGTTAGTTTGTAATAATTGCTGGGCGAAATATTAGAAAATCTGCTGCTAACCTTATGATTAATGCCTCGAACCTCAAACTACCTCTAATGAGCTCACGGAAATTTATTCCGACTACTCCTTTTAATTTTTTTTTCACATGTAAACAGTATTACCCATTTCTTTTGTTTCGATGAATTTTTCCTGCCGAAGTAGCTTAATCGAGGCATTCTTAGCAGCTGTGCGTGCCGATTTAATTTCGGAGCCTGAAAGGCTGTAATTTAAAACATATTTTTATGAATTTATGATATAAATGCGATGAGAGTACTGGGTTTTTCTAAATACCATTTTGATGCTGATCGATTACCCTTCTGAAAGCCTGCTGAGTGTATTTCCTTCTTCCGGTTGTTAGATTCCTCTTCTGACTCAAAGTTTATCTTAAACATTTCACGTCGAGCTGATTCATCAGGAAGTGAACATATATTGTCGTATCAAAACGTCGTTGAAATGCATTATTCAGATTTTGAGGTGTATTGGTGGCCCCCAGACCCGATTGATGGTCAGATTGGTTGCGGATGATTCTGGAACCTCATACTACATTAATTACAGGCGAACATTAATTTAAGTAATCCTAGATTTGTTACTAAAGTGTATTTTTTTACAGATGAAGGACAGACAAAGCTCGTCCAGCTTTTAGATTAATCCTAGTCTCAGGTAACTGTAGCAGGAACGAATGACATGGACTTAGATATGGTACTGAACGCTATATTTATTTATTTATTTTTGTAAATTATCTTGAGTCATTTATTTCTATTTTTTCAGGACGAAAATTATAATAAAAGTCCCTAGAGCATAGCATTTTCTTTCAATTTTGATAGCATTTTCATGTATTTATGTAGGTTTCTGGAGCTATATCTGTACTGGACGACTCCAAATCTCCTCACTCGCAAAGATTTTCTTCCTATATTCTTGACAATTTGAAGTCACCTGAAATAACTTGCCAGGTTTATGAAATCCGGAGCAGTTTCTGTAAGGTGAGTGCATTATTTTACTAATTAATTAGCCATTTAGTAGACAATGTGTTATTCGTACAATATGTAATTTTTTTAAGATCAGTAAAAGGGATTAGTGCGGTCGATGACTAATTACTGCTGGCTGAACGGAAGAGGATGAATATTCAGACGGATGGGATGCATTATGGAATTGTTGTTGTTCTTCTTTTCTTCTAACTTCTCCGAACTAATTTCAGCAAATCTTAGAGAGTTGGTAAGGTTACGTGACTATCACGTAGTGATATCATGTAAGATCGCGAACCACGACATGATGTACGCTTTTAGGTGTAATAACTCGTTTTAGAGAAAGAACGCTCGGAAGAATGCGTTGTCCCTTTGAAGCTTCCGTAGTATTTTCAGTTATCCAATACACATCCTTGTAATAATTTTGTGGATAATTAGCCGAAAGATTTCTAACGGGGGAAGATTGAAGAATACGTTCTAAAATATTTGGTAAACGAAATTTTCCTGATCATATGAATTATTATAACAATGTTATTAGCCATAATAAAATCAGGATTTTCCACATCACTACCTTTCCAGACTTCACCGCCATTGTGCTTATGTGCATATCAGACAGTTGCGTATTTCACCGATTTCTACTTTTACAAAACTTCTGACATTAACATCAATTTAGATAACTTGAGTATCACGCGGCAGCTTATTAGGCAAATAAAACTAACCAAATAGACTAATGTCAATCAAATGTATATCGATAAAATAGCTTCTCTGCTAATATTGTTTACTTCTCGGTGACTGTTATTACTAGCACAGTAACACATTTATTACTAGTACATAGCAAATTCACCATGCTGGTAAATGGTTACAGATAAGGTAAATTGATTGTGTTTGCGTTTAAATTTTTATTAACCTATCACACATTCTGGCATTAGTACTCAACCGGATAAACAACAAATTCGATTATTCAGTTCTATTTGACGAGTTATGGCGAATTTTTATTAAAATATAAGCTGGAAAGCCGTTAACAATTATTACGACAAGTGTGTAATATTATGTTAAGATAGATTTGTGATTCACTTCGAAGTACCTTGATTTTAGTAACATTACCTGATATTATGACATTTGATTTATTCAAAATTCGTAACATCGATATTTTGGGAAAATCCAGTGTCAAACATATTTCCTTAACGTAGATAAACGGTTACATTTCACGCCAAAGGATGAAATATCGACTGCAGTAAATAAGTTGAAAGTAGTTAGATGTAGTGTAGGTGTGTGGGTATTAAATGCAATGTGGAATAATAATTACAACATGAAATTACTGTGATGCTTTAGCATTTCTGGTTTTATTTATTGAAACCATGACAAAAATAATTTTAGCGAAATTCAAATTTGTCACCTAATATTATATTTATTTTTCTATTACATTGCAATAAATTTGAGATTTTTTAATATTATATTACCACCTTTTGAGGAAATTATACCCGACGCGTATCAGAGTGATGGTAATTTTCCATTACCTTGAAGTTTACTAATACCGGAGGCGAATGTGCGTCAGCGTCGTTTCACGATTTGAGAATGGGGTGAACGTAGTTCATAATAATGTCTTCATATCGCCAAGGCAAAAATATTAGACAAATTTAGTATCTGTAAGAGGTTATTCCAAGCTATTTATTAATCTCATAGGTGCTAGCAATTAAGTACATAATAATATGAAATTCAGTTTTAAAATTAATTATCACAAAAGCTGTATATGATATTTTTTTTAATAATTCTTTTATTTCAGATTATACTCACATCAAATTAGTGTAATTTGTTTTGAAAAAGAAATAAATTCGGACAGATTAAACCATACGATGGAATTAAATATTGCGTTTTGTAAAAATAAATTAATTAATAATTTGTTTCCAAATATGTCATAATGCTCTAATTTAATTTAATGCACGGAAAAAAATTAGATTTTAACTCGTATCGATTCAGGACCCAAATGAATGAACAATTTAACTTCATTTGAGACGTTATGATTCCTGCGGTGATTTCAGGCTATCCTGATCTGTAGGAGGTGGGACAGGTAGATCTTGCACGATTTCCAAAACTTCTAACGAGTTGGAACATGCCTGAGAGATTGTAGGATTTATTAAGTCCTTGGAAGCGCTGTGGTTTTCCTGACGTGCCTCAACGATACGTTTCTTATTTGGTGGTGGGGTCTATAAGAAATTTATATAATTCTATATTTTTGGAACTATTGGGTAATTATGAGGGTTGCATTGAGCACTATCGTGTGATTTAGTTATAGCAGCAAGAAAAGTTATAGCATTGTAGAAATTGAGGTAATTTTGAAGGCATTAATAACGTACTGTGATGGGATCTTTGTCCACAGTTTGAGTAAAACTGGACTCGATGGAGTATGTGTAAACGTACGTAGGTGGCTTTGTGGTATTGGCAGGCTGATGACCAGAGTTGACAGGTTGAACGTTATCATGATCAAATTTTTCGTTACCTGTAGGGAAGAAAAAGTAATTTGTTATAAAGTTATTGAGAATGAAGGTCAGGGATTTGCAGATGTGACGTAGAATTCTATGTTTTTTGGAATAATGTGGATTTAAGAAATTACTTGACTCTTGTTTGATGCAAAGTTGTTGAGAATACTCCATAAATGCCTCGCCGTCTAGATGCTGCGAGGGTATCGCGGTTGGTGAGAGGATTGCACCTTCTATGCCCCTCGAAGCAAAGTCGGTTGCTAAGAAATGTCGCGAACAAATGTGGCGTTTTTGTAGGTCAGTAGCACAACTCTGGGATAATGGAAGTATCGGGAGAAGAATTTGGGTCCATTGGTGACATATAGGTTCAAGGGATTTGTCGGTGGGAAATCTGTGTACAAATATTTTAGTAATGATGTTTCTTATTAATCAGATTTTAATTAGTATGTTATTGATAATATTTTCAATGTCTTTTCACACCTATGGTATGACAGCAAGGGTTCGTTCCTTCGCATTGCTATGGTACAGCCAGGAACGGCACAAGGCTTATCGGGAGATTCGCGGGGAATCTAAAAAATATGTGAGATTATTGACGTACAAATATTTTTGATACAGAAGGTGAGAAAATGGGTCAAATTTAAAATCCGTGAGATTATTATGATAGAAAAGTAATTGGAATGATATTAGGAAATTCATTATAAATATGGGGGCACTTACTGGAGTTTGAACGAATTTCAAATCATTTTGCGTGGAGGTTGAAACAGAAATATGGTCAAGTTCTTGGCAATGTGATTCAATTGGTGTGGCTTTCTCCTTAAAGATTGTATCTAGAAGGGTTAGAACATACATTTTTAAAATTACACAATTATAAGTATAATTTAATATATACATAATTTATTTTGATAACATTTTGTAATACAGAGAGAGAAATTAGTGCAAATATGGGAGGTTCTTCGTAAAAGAAATTGATAAGGATGCCGCATATAAGGATGCCGGAGGCGAAAAAATTGTAGTGCCCAAAAAGTCACACGTGGGTACATACAAATCCCACTTTAAATAGCTGAAGTGTTATTATTTCAGTGAGGGAATTTAAGGAAAGAAACACATGTGAGTTTTGCACACACCACCACCGCCAGTAGTAGACGGTTACGGGGGAAAAGGAAAAGAAAGTTTCTCACACGTGGACTTATTTCATATGATTCCTATCCATTTATGGGTCTTCACACTTTGTGAACTTTTTATGAAAATCTTAACAAGGAAATTTGCAAGTTTTTACCAATTTTTTTAATGAAACAGCACGCGGTTTTTTGGACAAGTGAAATTGACTAATTTATTTGAAAACAGAATAACTCTTCAAAGAAAGATTTTAAGATTAGGTCAGTTTTAAATTTTTGAAAACCTACAGCGTTCTGTCTGGCGCAAGAGAGGCGAAACGGCAACTATTGAATGATCACTTGGCAAAGCTGCAGGTTTCTCCAGTAAAAAATAAAACCCTGAGAAACAAGAGCAAATTAAGAGAAAAAGTTGTAAGGGCTCTTGTAGATTTAGAAAATCAGTTTATGGATTTATTGCCACAATCCACTTCATCCATTATGCCTGCTTCTCCGTCTAAAATTGTTGGTGACTGCCATGATTGCAAAAAGTTGGTGGACGGATTAAAACTTAAAGTTAGTGGATGTCAGACATTGGAAGAAAAATATCACCTGCTTACTTGTCTCCCAGGAAACGTGACCATTGCACAGATTAGGTCAGACTTTGGGGTTGGGAAGACAATCGCCACGAGGGCATCCAAGTTGCGAAGTTCCGAGGGGCCCTTCTCGGCTCCATATTTCAATAAAAGGGGACCGAAACCTGATGATGAGTTGACCAATATTATTCGTCGGTTTTATCTTGACGACAGTAATTCAAGACCAAGTCCTCGTGCAAATGACACCATTATCGTAACTACAGCCGAAGGGAAGAAAAGAGTTGCAAAAATCTTGATTCTCAACAACCTGAAAGATTTTTTTGAAGAATTTAAGGTTGTGAATAAAGAGTTTTTGGCAACACGTCCAAGACTTGGGATATCAAAATTCGCCGCATTAAGACCAAAACAATGTAGATGGCCTGAACACAGGATTTCATAGAACGTGTACTTGTCGTATACACGAGAACTGGAAACTTATGATGGAAGTAGTTAAAAAGTCAATTAACTCATCAACGGGTAACCATAAATATGCAAGCAAATGTGCCAAAAATAAATGAATAGTGAAAATCCAACTTATTTATATAAAAATTTCTTTAATATAGATTCGGCTGAAACGTATTCGAGGATGGTGATGGGGACTCAAGAACTCTTATCTCTAATGTTATTGATAATCTTGACGCTCTTTTGTCAATTTTTGTATGTGATGACGAAACTGAGAATTGCTGGTCCGGTTATTGTGGAAACTGCCCAAAACCTGAAATATTAGAATCTATTATCGACCTTGTGGAGGAGGATGAAGTCAGTTATATGCAGTGGGTGCAGACAGATTCCTCTGAAATAATTGAACAAAACGAGTCAAAAGTGGAATTTCGAGAGAAATTATTCTCGGCTGTCCCCAAGATCATATTACATCATCGTATTAATAAGCTACAGAAAAACTTTATCAAAGAAATGAAAATACTTCGTACATCAAAAGACTCCGCAACCGCTCTGGTGTTTGTTGACTATGGACAAAACTACTCATTTGTAGTGCAAGATGCAATTCAATCTTATCATTGGAACAATTCTCAGGCCACGATTCATCCATTTTTTGTTCGACTGTGGTGTCCTAACCTGGGTGAAGAAGGAAATGCAACGTATAAAACATATTTTATTATCTCGGACGAAAGATCTCACGATGCGTCGACCTTTCATACTTTCCGTACCATGTTCGTGGAAAAGCTGAAAATTGACTTCCCCTTCATCACAAAATTGATATATGTCAGTGACGGAACAGCGGCTCAATACAAAAATACCCATAATTTAATGAATTTATTATTTCACCGTGACGAGTATGGATTAGAGGCTGAATGGCATTTCACGGCAACCAGTCACGGTAAAAGTGAATGTGATGCTATGTCAGCGGTTGTGAAAAGTAGCATTCGATTGAAAAGTTTGAAGGGTCAACTTATCACCACTCCGAAATCTATGTTTGATGTGGCGGTTAAGGAAATGACAGAGCCTGGAAGACTTGAATTTATCTACGTCACAAAAGACAATGTCACTGAAACCAAAGCTAGACTGCAACCAAGATATGATCTTTGCAAAATTATATATGGAACAAGGGCATGTCATGGATTTCGGCCAGTAGACAAAACATCCCTAAAAATGTTTAAGTACTCTGCCAACGAGGAATTTAAACTTCTCCACGCTTACAAATCAAATACTGAGATCTCCGGGGAGGAGGAACTTGCAGGAGTGCAATTACATCTGGAGACGATATTCAAAGTTGGCAACTACTACGCCGTCCGTTCCGGAAGATTTTTTCAAATTGGAATTATGATTCAAATTAATAATTATGAACGAGAAGGGGAATTATTAATGATGAAGAGATCTGGAAAGAACTGGGTATTCCCACATCCTGAGAAAACTGAGCATTTCAATTATGAAGACATTCTTTGCCAACTTCAACCACCAACAAGAGAATCCATTAAAAGTATCTATAAATTTACCAAGGAGGATACAGTGCTGGCTACAGAGAAGATGAAACTAAGCGTTTCAAATCAGTAAAGTTTATTCAACTCGGCGTACTGCTTCTTCTAGGTAAACCGGTAATTATTAACAATGCCAATATTTGACACTTAGTTTTTTACAATGCTTACTAAACCACAAATACTAATTAGTACTTATCATTTTTGTGAAATAAAGACAAATTGGTGTGTTCGATGATCATTTTGTAACAAAAACTCATTTATTGGAACATCCTGTCTAATATCGAGAAATTATATTATTTTGCCCCAGCACAGATATGGGGAGTAGGTACCATGACTTCGTGTAAATTCCCAGAGCTTTAATCGGGTCATATTTGGATTAGGAACTTGGTGCCCAGAATTATGCAATTTTTTTAAATAGGTACACTTGCAAAGTAAATTTTCCTTATAATATAGAACACACTAAGTAATTATTCACAGGATATGATAGAAAAAGTTCAAATGTACATCTTATATGCCTTTATTTGAGGATTTAGTGTACAGGACGTTATAAAATTTGAAACACCCATATCTCGAGTAATTTGAAAGTTTTGATTTTTCAAAAAAAACATCCTGGGGAAGGTCCTCATACATGTTCCCTCCAAATTTGGGGTCAATCGAATGAAAAATGGGGGAGAAACAGT